GTATATATACCACAGCTTCTTTATCCATTCGTCCCTTGATGGGCACTTAGGTTGCTTCCAAGTCTTGGCTATTGTGAATAACGCTGCAATGAACACAGGAGTGCATGTACCTTTGCAAATTGGTGAACTATTGCTGTCTACTTCTCCTTTCAGATTTGTTAGTATTTGCTTTATATATTTAGATGCTCCTGTGTTGGGTGCATAAATATTTATAATTGTTATCTTCTTGATGAGTTGATCCCTTTATCATTATATAATGACCTTCTTTGTGTCTCGTTACAGTCTTTGGCTTAAAGTCTGTTTTGTCTAATATAAGTATAGCTACTCCTGCTTGCTTTGGTTTCCATTTGCTTGAAATATCTTTTTCCATTCCTTCACTTTCTTTCTTTCTTTCTTTCTTTTTTTGTGAAGAAGGTCAGCCCTGAGCTAATATCCATGCCAATCCTCCTCTTTTTGCTGAGGAAGACCAGCCCTGAGCTAACATCTATTGCCAATCCTCCTCCTTTTTTTTTCCCCCTTTTTCTCCCCAAAGCCCCAGTAGATAGTTGTATGTCATAGTTGCACATCCTTCTAGTTGCTGTATTTGGGACGCCGCCTCAGCATGCCTGGACAAGCAGTGCGTCGGTGCACGCCTGGGATCCAAACCCGGGCTACCAGTAGCGGAGCACGTGCACTTAACCGCTAAGCCACGGGGCCAGCCCCCATCCCTTCACTTTCAATCTTTATGTGTCCTTAAATCTGAAGTGAGTCTCTTATAGGCAGTATATAGTTGGGTCTTGTTTTTTTAATCCATTCAGCCACTCTGTGTCTTTTGATTAGAGAATTTAGTTCATTTACATTTAAAGTAATTACTGATAGATATGGACTTACTGTTGGCATTTTTTAAGTTGTTTTCTGGTGTTTTTTAATTCATCAGTTCCTTTGTTCCTCTCTTGCTTTCTTCCTTTGCAATTTATGATTTTCTCTAGTGGTATGTTTGACACCTTTCTCTTTATGTATCTACTACAGGTTTTTGCTTCTTGCTTTTGTTTTATATGGCTTCTATAAAACATCTTCCATTTATAACAGTCTATTTTAAGCCAGTAACAGCTTAACTTTGAACATGTACAAAAACTCTACATTTTTATACTCCCCCCATTTTATGTTTTTGATGTCACAGTTTATATCTTTTTTCATTATGTATCCATTAACAAAGTATTGTTGTTACAGTCATTTTGAATACTTTTGTCTTTTATCTTCATACTGGAGTTATAAGTGATTTACCCACCACCATTAGAATTTTAGAGTATTCTTCAGTTAAATATTTGTGTAAGGAAAGAGTGAACATAACCAAATGAAGATTGGAAGTGGTGCCCCTCCCTTCGATGTTAAAAGATCTGACTCTCATGCAGTATTGGTGGGAGTATAAATTGGGAAAGCCTTTTTGGAAGACATTTAGCTTGGTAGTAGCTACAAAAATTTTAAATAAGCATACTTTTGACCCAGAAATTCCACTTAGAAAATCTCCTTTAAAGCTGTATTTACCCATGTTCTAAAAGATATATGATTAAATAGTTCGTTGTATGTGTACATATAGACTTTTTTTTTAATTTAACAGACACATATAGCACTTACTAATATGCCCAGAACTTGTCTAAGTGTTTTGCAAATATTAGTCTTATAACAATACTTTGTGGTAGATACTACTGTATGAGTGCCATGTTATTGATGAGGAAACTGGCAGAGTTTAACTTGGCCGTAGTCACACAGCTAGCAAATGAGAAAGCCAGCAGTGGAACACAGTGTGGTTCTGTGGGCTTATCATTACACTATCCAGTGATTACAAAGAACTTGACAGACTCAGTGATGTACCTTACATGGGTGTGAGACCTCCACAGCACAGTAAAAGTGAAAAAAGCAAGTCATAGGTCAATACATAGAGTGGATCCCATGCGTTTAAAGATAATAATAAGAACATATATATGTATACACACGTGGTATAAATACACAGCAGTGTATCCCAAAATGCTGATGGTGCTTTGCCTGTGGAAAGAGGATCATTTTCATGTTTTTACTTGCATATTATTAAATTTTATACTGAGAGTTATATATTCCTCTATTAGTTTTTTTAATAAAGAAAAAACCAATGGAGATACTTTCAAGTAGAAGAAAGAGAGCCTGGGACATCTCAATTAAGACAGGTTTTGGTAGTTCCAGTTTTCTTGACTTGGCCCCAATAGTGAATTTCTGGATTTAATGAGATCTTAGAGTATATATAGTTGAGGCTTCTTTTCTCTATCTCTTTATAGATTCCTATTCTCCCTTGTCTTCCCAGTGAGGCAGCAATAAACCTACCATTTCTTTTCATTAGATTGAGCTGCTATATGTCTGTCTGTGTTCTGCAATATTTTATGGTAATGAATGAGCTTATTTTGTTTAATGCACACCAGTTGTAGTTTTGTGAAGGTTACATTATTTTTAATTATGCATGTTGGTAAGAATGTGTATGTTAAGGGGGGAAAGTTGGAGCTAAGATAGGTGGCATTCAACCTCGATGACACCTTGGAAATATTCACCTGACCATTGACTTTAGTTGATGGGCTTCATGGACCTGATTCCCAAGGGAAAGGTAAATAATGGTAGGTAGAAGACTGGGAAGATCATCAGAACGTTCCAGAGAATACAGAGATAAGTTTGTTACCTAATAAATTTTTTCAAGGACCTCATGGTACTGTTCCTTGCTGGCAGCATGTGATAAACAGAGTTAAAAGGTTGCAATTCAAGCCAGAGGCTCCTGCCCCATCATTAAATTATTTTTGGAAGCCTACTGTGATTGTGTCATTCTGGAAAATAGAATTTAAAACCTATTCTGTAAAATACACAATAGCTTTCTAATACTGTAGGCCACAATTTATAGTAGATTGGTGTGCTAAGAAAACCTTAATGTTGTCAGTTAAAAACAGTCTGAAATTTCTTTTGGAAAATTATTGACAAAAAAGGTATCTGTGGTTGATCATTAGCCCACTGTGAAGATTTTTGCTTTTTGTGTCCTCATCACCTTTATATCCCATTTCCTAATTCCGATCTAAGGCAAACTTAGTCATCATCTCATGCTCACCACTAGATTGTGAGCTCCTTGAAGCCAAGGAGAATATTTGGGTAGTCTTTGTATTTACTTGAAGGCCTAGAACAATGTACTTCATATTGTTAGGTGGCTCTGGAAAGATTTGTGAAATTGAATTGATAGTAGTTAAATTTCATGGGTTGCTATTTTCTGTTACTTCTTTTCCAGGAACCTGTTATCTGCACATAGCAACAGATAAGTTTGCTGTGTATGTTGGATATCACAGTTTCCAATTTTCTCGTTAAATAGGAACTATCCAAGATCACGATGCCAGTTATATTTAATGAGCCTTTGAGCTTCCTACAGCGACTCACTGAATATATGGAGCATACATACCTCATCCACAAGGCCAGTTCATTTTCTGATCCTGTGGAAAGGATGCAGGTATGTGTCAAGCAAGCACTGGAAGAGGTTTAAGTCTTAGAGACTTCTCTGCTACCACAACCCCCCACCCCAAACACACATACAGAGAGTTAGTGTTAGGTCCAATATGAGGTTGGGAGATGTATTAAAACTTAGTCAGTATGTTTGGAGCGTCCTCTGCATTCCTTCCCCCTGCCACCCTCTAGTCAGAGTGCCACCATAGTGGAAAGACCGATGAGAATTGCAAGAGAAGCAGAAGATGGTCCATAATCAAACCTACATATTGCTGAGCTATTTCTGAGTCTTCATTTTAGAAAGTAGCATTGTGTTAGAGGGAAAAAATTCAACCTGTCTCCTTTCAGACTTTCTCAGAGTGTTTACAAGAAGGGATGAACACACACATACACACATAATATGTTTATGTTTATCTGTGTATATTTGAATATACACTATAGGTTAAAACAAAAGACAACAAGGAATTGCACTTTTTTATTTTCTTTTGAATAGAAAATGTTTATGTGATGTATTTGGATGGGCTAGATACAGGCGAAGTATAATAGATACATTGTTCTCCTTTAAACAAAGCAAGAGCATTCTAAATGGAATCTTTCTGTTTTTTCGTTTATATTAAATCAGCTTGGCCCAATCTCATTGGACTTGATACCGATTTTAGTTTTCTTTCTTCTCCCCGATCCTAAAAATGTTGTACTTTTTAGAAATTTTAAAGGAATTAAAAGTAATTTTGGGTTTGAGTTTTTTAAAAGTCCTTGAAAGAATTTGTAGCACTCTGAGTGTTATAAAAACCATGGTTGAGAATGATACTATAGGAAGAAAGACTCAGAGTAATTTTCATTCTGAATATCCATGTTTGCATATTAAGTTGCTAGAGCCATATTAAAAATCCAAAGAGATAATTTAATAAATAGACCTATTTAAAAAGTAATAAATCCTCAAAATAATTTTGTAAATTACAGTCTTCAGCAAAATTTCAGTTCCTGAGAGACTGAGGAGCAAGCTAGGCTGATTGTAACTCCTAATGCTTTGTCCCCCAGTGTGTCGCTGCGTTTGCTGTATCTGCGGTTGCTTCTCAGTGGGAACGCACTGGAAAGCCTTTCAACCCACTTCTGGGAGAGACTTACGAATTAGTTCGGTAAGATATTTTGCTCTATTACAGATTGTTAGTTGAATTTGCATGATTTATATAGCTTTCAAAATGAAGAGGAAAAGCATACATATTTTGAGTATCATCAACAACAATTTTCTATAACTGGAGCAAGTTAACATATTTGATGTTTGTTTCTATAACACTTATTTTAGAGACTGTCAAAAATATTGAAACATACATAAAAATGTATCATTATAAAAAGTAATTACGAGGATTTCAGTGTTCCTGATCATATGGGATTAATGATCGTCCCTTTTTCCTTATGTGGGTCATAAGACATGATTGGGACTTTTTTATAACCATATGAAATATACTAGCATAAATTTATACTGTTGGCGTAAAGGCAGTGGATGCATCTACAAGTGCAGTTCTGTTTGCCTGTTATAGCCTGCTTCTTGTTTACACACAATTGGGGAATTCATGCAGCTTTATTTTTTCTGAATCTTCCTCTTCTTCTCTGCACAAGTTTTGATCATATTTATTCCGTAGATGTTTGGAAGTGGACTCATTAGATTCCTCTATCTTAATACAAATGGAATGATAAGTTTTAAATTTACGTGGCTAATGTTATGAATTTGTGCAAATCACCCAAATTCATGTGGGTGTTCTTTATTGTAATGTTCAAGTAGCTAGAATTATAATAACATTGGATTTAGTAGTTTGGGTTGCATTTGTACAGTTTCTCATATGTTGAGTTCTTTTATCAGGATGATAAAGAATTATTTACTTCGTCAAACCTGTTTCTTTAATACTTTAACATTGCTTGTTGACTGAAATGATAATAATGTACACATTCCGTGATGAGTTAATTACAACGTTACTTTTTTTTTTTTAATCTGAAGAGATGACCTTGGTTTCAGACTCATCTCGGAGCAGGTCAGCCATCATCCACCAATTAGTGCATTTCACGCTGAAGGATTAAACAATGATTTCATCTTTCATGGCTCAATCTATCCCAAATTGAAGTTTTGGGGGAAGAGTGTAGAGGCAGAACCCAAGGGAACCATCACCTTGGAGCTCCTTGAGTAAGTTGGAATCCAGCCATTAAACTCTTTTCATGTATGCCTCCTCATAAGTATATACACCTTCACACAGACCTGACCTTGCTGTGCAAAAGCTGGAGAAAAAGAAACAGCATTTATAAAGCGTAAATTATCTATCTCCATGTAAAAGACTTTGAGAAACACGGCAATCACCATTGTTAATCAATCTGGGTATGTATAAAAAGTTTAACTTGATGTTTGACTGTAGCATTTGGCTCTATTTTAAGATAGAATAGAGTTAATCACTCCATGACAGTTCGTATGAAACAGGTTTTCTGTATATCATGGTGCTAATGTTTTGTTAATCTTTCAAATGAATTCACTTTGAGAAATATTGAAACAACAATTATGTGGCACATCTTAGACCTTAGGTAAGTTAGAAGTTCTCTTCTTTGGCAATAGGAAAAGGATTAGCTTTACTAAAATTCAAAGGCAGTTCCAGTTCCAATTAAGATAGAGTAAGCACACTCTAGCCAATCTTTTCCATGGATTTCAACTAAAGACCCTGGACAGAAGACAGAAAGCAATAATCTGAGGACTTTGAAAAGTAAATAATCGCAGGCAGATTGGGGAGAGAAATAGAAACCTGAAGACCAATATGGCAGTGAGTTTCCTGGTTTTATTCTCCCCCCGACCCTCCCGCCCCAATATCTCCATGCTTAGAGTTAGAGCAGCCCAAATCCCAGAACTGGGCAGTGGAGGCAGACAGAAAAAGTTCCAAGAGAAACCCCCTCTTTCTGGTTAGTGGACCTGGAAAGATACCCTCTCAGGATGTAGAGAGTGGGGGATATTCTGTTTGTTTTTCTCTCCTAGCCTTGCCCCAAAGCCAGCTCTAGGACCCACAGCTACATACCTTTAGTGGTGGTGGCCACAGCAGTCACACCAGTACCTAAAACTCAGAAAAAGTCTTTCTCTGGACAGAGGAACTGGATAAAGAGGTCTCTGTGGTCCAAAGAGTATGAGGAGAATCCTTGTTACTTTTTTTCTCTTTCTTTTCTCTCACCTCTTTGTCCCGGTCGTGGGAAGTGCAAGACAGAGCAGAGGCTGAAACCGCAGCTTGCTGGTCAGCAGACCAGAGGAAAGATCCCTCTAGTCCCTGCGAGTTTGGGGAAAACCATAGAGCGGAGAGAGCGCAGAAAGGGATCCCATAAAGCTGTGTATGAGATCCTAAGCTCATCCTTATGCTCGAGCATTGAAATGACCTGAATTGTTTTTCCTTTGGTGAGCTGGAGGGCACTTGTCTGGAAAGTGCTAGATAGGCCTTCATTTTTATTCTCTACCTCTAATTTATTTTATTTTTTCTATGTTTTCACCTAACTTCTGAATGCTTCAGATGATTGTATACATAGTTTATTAGATGATTAATCTAATAATCTGAAGTGTAGGGTTGAAGTTGTAGTATAGAGTGGAAGTATAGAGTTTTTTCCTTAACTGTTTGCATCCTTTTAAGAAAATAAGAGTAGTCAGGTTACACTTATTTTACTATGAGTTGACACCGATTAGAGCTTAGTTATCTCTAGCAGTCTGATTTGTTATCCTGAGTAGTGGCATTTGAGGCACATTTTAAACAAAATAACACTTCTCACCTATTTTTCTGGGTTTTGGTTTGAATTTTTGTTTTTTAGACACAATGAAGCATATACATGGACAAATCCTACCTGCTGTGTACATAATATCATTGTGGGAAAACTCTGGATTGAGCAGTATGGCAATGTGGAAATCACAAACCATAAGTAAGACACTTAGAGTACTTGTCTATCCCTTCAGTTGTCATCAAACAGTTCTAATTGGACTTCATTTTTTAAAAAAGCTCTGAGCCTGATGATAATGTAAGAACAAGGCAATAGAACTCTTGAGTAAGTAGAAGCCCATCCATTTAATGAATGGAATTCATTCAAGTTTCTAACTGGGGAAGACTGGGTGAACTCTGAGCTTCTACCGCCTCTGTGACTCTTAATTCCAACCTCAGCTCCTTTTGCTTATATTGTGTAGTTTGTATTATTCACACAGAGGGGTGTGATGGAGTGGGAGGAATAGATGGAGTAGGTTCAAATCCTACTTTGTGACCTTAGGCAAGTGTCTTAGTCAGCCTGTGTGTCTCTTCTTATAAAGGCACTAATCCCACTCATGAGGGCTTCACCCTCATGATGTTATTACCTCTAAATACCGTCATATTAGGGATTAGGGCTTCAACACATGAATTTGGGGGGACATAAACATTCATTCCATAGCAGCAAGTCACTTATTCTTTATGAACCTTGCTTACCTTTTCTTTATGGCGGGTCCAGTACAAATTAAGGATGAATTTTGATAACTTCTGTATGGAGCCTGGCATGTATTAGAAAATTAGTAAACAGCAGCTGCTGCTAAAAAGGTTGTCATCGTCATTATTCTCTACTGCTTCTTCTGTATTGAATGATAATCTGAGCGTAATATTTTCTTCCTAGGACTGGGGACAAATGTGTGTTGAATTTTAAGCCATGCGGCCTTTTTGGTAAGGAGTTACACAAAGTTGAAGGCTACATTCAAGATAAAAGGTAAAGTTTGCATTTTAAATGTTGAATAGCATAGATGTCGTTCATGAAATAAAATGTCAGTATTAAAATCTGCTACCATAACCTAGGAAACAAGCATGCTAGTAAGTTGAAAAATCTTTCTTCTACAAGGAAATATCTATTTCTTTCAAGAATCTGATTCATAAGGATCTTTATTATAATATTTGATTGCAGCAAAACACTGGTTTAATTGTTGGCTAAACATCAATTTCTCTTGACAGCAAAAAGAAGCTCTGTGCCCTCTATGGGAAGTGGACTGAATGTTTATATAGTGTTGACCCCGCCACTTTTGATGCTTACAAAAAAAATGATAAGAAAAATACTGAAGAGAAGAAGAACAGCAAACAGGTGAACATCCTGTAAGGTGGTATGGAAAGAATCATTGGACTCTTAAATTTGTACCAGTCCTTTTGGAGGTGGCCTTTTATTGGGTCACAGTTTGACCTTTTTTTCCTTGTTGCTAATGCATGTAATTTTTCTCCTTGAATGTTTTTAGTGAACAGATAATCTGCCTTAATAGTGAGTGTCTGACATAATCTTACATAGAATATGGGTGTGTGCCATTTTTGTTACTGTGTGCAGTTACACATGGGGCTCTGAATTCGCATAGCTTTGGAAAGTCGGAGTTCATCTTAGTGAGACAAATTTTCTTTTCCTCTTGTCTGTTTATTGCATTAGAAGTTGAGATCATTTAAATATTAAAAATTCATCCAAAATTATCACCTACGTTTTCATGCTTATTAGCAGTTTTCTTGCCCTCTTTCTTATCACTAAATCACTGAAGTTGAGGGCCGGCCCTGTGGCTTGGTGGTTAAGTGCGCGCGCTGCGATGCTGGTGGCCCGGGTTCGGATCCCGGGTGTGCATCGAGGCACCACTTCTCCGTTCATCCTGAGGCTGAGTCCCGCATACAGCAACTAGAAGGATGTGCAGCTACGACATACAACTATCCACTGGGGCTTTGGGGGAAAAAATAAAATAAATAAAATCTTTAAATCACTGAAGTTGAGACCCCATAGTTAAGGGAGTCATTCCTGGGCTGCTGTCCTTCTCTTATTAAGCTGTCTTCCTCATGGGACAGTTACTGTCCTGATGGAATCTCCCATATGTGAGGTACATAGCTTCCTGCTGCAGGGCCCCATGGAGGCTCTAATGTTCAACAGACTCCTGTCCCTTTCCTCCAGGCAGAAGAGCTGAGAGCTGAAGAAAGATTGCACCTGTTTGGACAGGAAGTATTTGAGAACTGATTACTTTCCAGTAACTGGCGTCATAGTTAAGAGCACAAACTGGGTTAGAATCCTGTCTCCACTGTTCATGAGTGGTACCACCATAGGCAGATTTCACACCTTCCCTTTGCCCCAGTGCCTTCATTTCTAAAATGGAGATAATAATAGTACCTACTTGAAAAATGAGTTAACAAATGCAAAGGGCTCAGAATAGTATCTGCTCATAGTAAAGATTAATTCAGTCCTTTCTGCTCCAAGCACATCTGAGGACTGGTGACCTAAGCATCATCTGAGAGTTTTCAGGCTCCCAGGTTCACCTCAGACCTACTGAATCACAGTCTCTAGGGCTTTTTGGGCAATTCTTACGCATTCGAAAGTTTAAGAAGCTCTAGTCTTCCTCAAAAACATGACTTTCTTTGTAAATTGAGTTAACCGTGGTCCTCGGGTGAGAAGTGTTTTATTAAATGACCAGAGCATACTGCTTTACTGTGGCTTTGGCTCTTTTCTTTCTTTTTATTTCCCTTCATCTCACTGTGCACAATTCTGCTTTCCTCCTCACATCCCATATTTCCCACCTGCTTTTCCTTCATTCTGGGAGGTGCCCTGACACTTCACTGCAGCTGTTAGGAAACTGATGGGGCTGGAGAAGGAAATGTTCCAGGATCCTGGGAGCCCTGACACAAACTCCTGGGCAGCGGCTCCAGCTAATATGAGGCCATCTGGCAGAGACAGCCTCGCCAACACATGTGTTGCCCATCCTCCTTTTACGGAGGGGAGGAGGAAGCAAAGAAATTCCAGAAAATATCCCTCATGTCCCATAAATCCCCAGTCAATCTTTGTAGAAAAGTGCCTTTGCTCCTTGGAGAGAGAAATTATTTGCACACATTCACTTCTTGTCTTGTCTTTCTCCTCCCAGTGTGTATCTGGCTACCAGAGATTTCTGGTGTTCCTGAGCATACTCAAATGCCATGGGAAGTTTGTTATCACCTCCTTGCTGCTGTTCTTTAAACTGTATATTTACTGAAAGTGTCTCACCCAGTAGTTCTAGATTTGGTAGCTGTGTGACATTGGGAATATTACTTAACCTTCCAAAGGCTTAAATTCTTTATACATAAAACTGTGGTAATAATATATTTTCATAGGTTTATTATGTAAGGATTAAATGTTTGGAGAGCTCCTAGCATAGCTCTGCCTATGGGGGATAGCCAAAGGAAATGTTAGTTTTGTTTTGTTTTAACCTAACATCTTTTTAAATTCCCTTTTTATCAAATGCTTTCAGGATCTTTACTGGTTTTGTGTCATTGATAAATTTAGTTAACTGACTCAAGGATTTAACCTTTTCTTGTTCTGAGAATATTCCAGGAAATACTCAAATGAGTTATTCTGTCTTAAAAAAAAAAGCTTTAAAAACATTAAAACACTGTAGTAAAGAGTGAGCGAAGATGATGATGATAATGCCTGAATGCAAATAACACTAAGTGATCCAACACACAAAGCTCATGAGACTCATAGCACTTATTCAGTCATTCAACGAGTATTTACCAACTCCCTACACTGTGTTAAAAAGTAAGGATATAGGAATGAGAGAGTCATGGTGCCCCAGCCCTCATGCAGTTTACATTCTAGTGGTGTACAATAAATGGTGGTTATTTTATAATTTGTAAGTATATTCTTTTTAAAACATTTTAATTTTGTTCATCTGTTGGTTCTCCTAGATGAGCACTTCTGAGGAGTCAGATGAAATGCCAGTGCCAGATTCTGAAAGTGTATTTGTGATCCCTGGAAGTGTTCTCCTATGGCGAATAGCCCCACGGCCTCCAAACTCTGCCCAGGTGAGGCTGGGCTAGCTGAGTGTGGCCTCACTGTTCATATTCAGCTGTGATGGTGCTCTCTTCCCGGCACATGCAGGGCAGAACGGAGAAGAGGGCAAGTTGTCATCAAAATGCTCGTCAGTTGTCCCTCTGCTGGCTTCTCACCCTGAGACTCAGTTCATTCATTTTGTCCATCCCTTTTGGTGTCTGGCTGGAGAAGATACATTGGAATAGGATCTTTGGGGGCTTCTTTAATAAGTACTTAGGGATAAGACTGGCTCTCATTAAATACAGGTGATGTAACCTGTTCAGTGTAAGCCGTCAGATCCAGCAAGTAATTATTTTAATAAAGAAAAGAGAAAAAATGTTGATTTTGCTTATAGTGCTACTTCAAGTTGACAGTGATAGAGGATATTTATTGTGAGGCCTGCTTTGAGATACCCATAGGTGGTGCAGACATCAGTGTAAACCTTTAGATACGTGGTCTGAGAAAGGCTGATCATCCTTACCACAAAAGAGAGGAGGGGGCTCGTTGTCAAATCAAACCTATTCTACCTTCAGGGGTTTTCATTTTGCGTTATGCCTTGGTATCTATTAATTTGAAGGTTTTGCTTCTTTTTAGATGTATAATTTTACTACCTTTGCAATGGTTTTGAATGAAGTAGACAAGGAAATGGAGAGTGTGATTCCTAAGACAGACTGCAGGTTACGGCCTGACATCAGAGCCATGGAAAATGGAGAAATAGGTAACCAGCATCTGACGGTGCTACCAGTGAAGATTGATTTCTTTGGGGATGATGGTTTGTTTTATTCCTGATGATTGTTAGTGTAGTCTCTCTTAGAGATTTTTAAATTAAAATTCAATTTAAATTCAGTAACTTTTGTTTTAAATTTGGAAATCTGAGGTAGACTTTTTTAGCTCTTATTTATCGTTTCAATGATACTCCCTGATAATTTCACTCATCACTTAATGACAAGAATACGTTCTGTGAAGTGCAATTTTGTCATTGTGCGAACATCATAGAGTGTACTTACACAAACCTTGATGGTATAGCCTACTATACACCTAGACTATATGGTGCTTATGTTATGGGACCACTGTCATATATGCGGTCCATTGTTGATTAAAACATTATGTGGCGCATGACTGTAGACTACATGTGGCCAGAGGCACGTCTTAAATGTCGGGGGAATTTGAGAAAATAATAGCATCTTTATCAACTTTAAACTATATTCTGCCTAATTATTTCACTACATATTTCAGGATTTATATATCACCTTGTGAGCCTCAAAGAAGAGTTTGGCATTCCCTTGGTTAATTATAACATTTTTATCTGGTGGTGTTCAATTTCTTCTAATTCAGTAGTTCTCAAAACGGGGCCAGTTTTTTACCCTAGGGGACATGTGGCAGTGTCTGGAGACTTTGGCTGTCACATCTGGGGAACTGCTACTGGCATCTAGTGGGTAGAGGCCTGGGATACGGCTACATGTCTTATAATGCACAGGACGTCCCCCTACAAAGAATCATCGGGTCCAGTATGTCAGTAGTGCCAAGGTTGAGAAGCCCTCTTCTAACTAAATTCTCTCATGCTCTCTTTGAATTATCAGTGAGACAATGCAACAGTATTTTGGAAAATTGTTTGAATTTCTTATGAATGAAAACTGAAGGTGCTCTGTGAAGTCTCACTAAGAACTTAGAAAAATTACGTACTTATTCAGTTTTTCCACCCAAGTTTTCATTGAAGCATTTTAACATAATTTTTTTGGCGTTAAGAATAAGGTTCCTTTTGGTAAATGCAGAGGTTGTTAGAGGCATAGGCTTTAGAAACAAATGACTGAGTTTCGAATGCCAGCTCTGCCTCTTACTAGCTTGGGTATGTGTTAAAATTTTAACGTGGTGTTTGACTGGGGAGTTTGTGTTTTAATAAAATGGAGATCACAGTAATACATATAGATGGTGCTTCTCTATAAAGTTATTGTGCTTAGTACTTTTCTACTTGTAGAATAACTGTTTTTTTATTGATATTCTTATTTTAGATAAAGCTAGTGAAGAAAAAAAACGACTTGAGGAAAAACAAAGAGCAGCCCGCAAAAACAGGTCCAAGTCGGAAGAGGACTGGAGGACGAGGTGCGTGGCTTTTCAGAGCGCATGGCTGAGCCCTCAGGCAGGCTGCTGTGTGTGGGCGAGGCGGGCTATCAGACACGGGGAACTGCAGAGCAAGGCCTAACAGAAGCCCTGCAGAGTTGTTCCTAGGCCTGAGAGAAAAATTATTTCCATTGACCAAGTATTCTGAAAGAATTGCATGTGTGAGAAAGAGAAGGGACTATTTGGAAAGTAAGGTTAAAATATTCCCACACAGTTATCACAGGTAAATATCAATTAAGCAGACCTTCTTCCTTATCTGGCAAAACCCTGTCCTTTCCATATATAACAGGGGAAGTGAAATACAGAATTACAAGTTTTGGCATGGAAATAGGTTCAGAGCCATTTGCATATATTTTTATCATGTATTAAGGATATTTAGACAGTGCCTTTACTCTTCCAGACACAAAGGATTTGACATGTAATGGAAATATGATTTATATAAGGTAACATCTTGGATTCCATTCAGAAGTAGAAAGTGGGCAAATTTCTGTTTTGAAAGTTTTTTTTTTTTTAGGAATCAAGAGTTACTTAGTTGTCACTTTTACTGAGTAATAGAATCACTTATAAATAGGAATAGAATAAAAATATTTTCTACCTTTGTTATCATATAACAGAAACCATTGTCCCACAGTCCAAAGTTATTAAATTTTAGAGCCAATATGGGCGTAATTTTGCAAACATTTCAGCAGATATTTGGTAGCCCTTTTGCATCGTAGAGAAAGATAATTATTAGAACTAGAAATGACCTTAGATATCATCTAGTCCAGTGGTTTGGGGACTTTTTTTGTTAGCATCAAAATCTTTTTTGCCAATAAATGCATAAAGAGTCTGCAAATATAGAACACATTGGAACAGAGCTGCTCTGGTTGGACGAGGACTGAGGGGCAAGGCCTTGGCACCCCTCACCTTCCCCCACCCTGTACATACCCCGGGCCCTAGAACTCGTTGGAATGCAGTTTGAAAACCACTGGTCTAGAAATCCCTTCATTGTACCAGAGGAAACCAAACACTGGTGTATGTCACTGAGGGGACTTGTCAAGGGCACACAACTAGTAAGCTGCAGACCTGTGATTAGACCCTGCACCTTCAGTAATCCAGACAAAGCCACATTGCTTTACTGTGTGGATCCCTTTTGAAAATTTGATACATTTTATCATTATTTCTAGTTTCTTTTGCAGAAAACCCCACTTGTACTGTATTTTTTTTTTTTTTTAAGATTTTATTTATTTATTTATTTTTCCCCCAAAGCCCCAGTAGATAGTTGTATGTCATAGCTGCACAGCCTTCTAGTTGCTGCATGTGGGACGCGGCCTCAGCATGGCTAGAGAAGCGGTGCATTTGGTTTGGTTACTAAAGTCTGAATAACATATATCTTGATCATTTGAAGTAGACTTTTAAATTTCCTAATTAGGGAAAAGTCCCAAAAGCTAAAGAATTTTTATAATAATATTAAAGAAAATTTGGTCTGATGGGCATTTACTGTATGATCCCTCAAGGAATTAGCCTAATCTGAAGGTTTTTTTTCTCTTAGGGTTTTTAGTGCTGCTGTAGTGATAATAAGAACATTTGGAACTTATGAAATAAATCTAATCTCACTCTGTTAAATATTTTTAGAAGCAATTTATTTGGAAAGAATGGCAAAGACATGTGAAGCTATTTTCATGAATGTTACTCTGAAAACAGTCATTTAAAAAATGTTGCACCAATTTGATTGTGAACCTTTTGAACAAGTGATTTTGCATTTCCATTACCTAAAGAAAGCCGAGACTGTGGGAAATGGGGTGACATGATTTTTAAAGGGCAAGAAAATGATTAGGGCAACTCTTTCTAGGATTAGATAAGACAGATTAGGATGTTAAAAGCTAGATGCAACCTAAGAATCCATATTGGCTTGGAGAAAATTGAGGCCCAGGAAGATCTGGACTAGATTAATTTCAGTGGATTATGTATAACATAGTATATTTGAAAAATCATGGTCTTTAAAATCAAACTGAAGTTTGATATCAGTTACTAGCTGGGGCAAGTTATTTAACTTCTCTATATTCAGCTCCTCATTTGTAAAACAGAGCATTATGAGTTTGAGGGGCATTTGCTCTGAATCAGGCACTTTACATATTACTGTAGATATGTTGTAATTTCCTTATCCTAATTCCTCATTCCTAATTGCTTAAAAGAATACCGTGTAGTGGAATATAAGGAATGGGGCTAGAGAATGAACAATTGGACAAATATATTGGTTCTCACAACCCTACTATACAGAAGATCCTGCTTTTGTTAAGTACTATTGCTAAATGCTTTGGAAAGTTGCATGGTATCACTACACCTTTTGGAATATTACTCTACATACATGCTCTCTAAAAACACTACCACTTCTTCAGTCTCTTTGGAAATCCTCAACTCACAGAATGAAGTGAACTGCTTCTCTAGGGAACCACTACAAGCTAGTGAAGCAGCACATACCCTGTGATTTCAGTTTCCCCCGTAAATCTTGTGCTTTCTCTTTAAACAGGTGGTTCCGTCAAGGTCCTAATCCCTACAGTGGAGCACAGGACTGGCTTTACTCCGGCAGCTACTGGGACAGAAACTACTTCAATTTGCCTGACATTTATTAAAATGCAGACACGTCAGGGTGTTTGGCTAATCTACAAATAAGTCTTAAACCTATGTTTTTTAATTTTTTTCCTTGGTTTCTACTCATCTTTTAAAAAAAAGAAGAAACCAAACCCACTCATGAGAGAACTTGCATTTCACTCAACAAAAGTAGGGCATAAGGTGATATTGGTGATGAAAGTCTTAGGAAAAATGGGTAATTTTGCTATCCAAACATACTTATTTGGAATACTATTTTATATAGCGGTAAGAGAAACTGCTGGAGAATATGCTTTTTATGGTTGCTGTTGCCATATTCACTGAAGGTTTATACCTAAATGTAACTTTGGCAAATGTAACTTTGGCTTTATGGAATTATAAAGTAATCCCAAAAGAAGTTATTTTGAATATTTTTATGCTGTATGCTTGAATGTTTTAGATGTAACTTTGAAATGTTTAGAATTCTCCTATACAATGTTTATGTGCTCAAATACAGAGGTGGTCTGTCATTTTGTAGAAACTACATTGAAAAGATGGCTTTTCATCATACTATTCCTGTCAATTTTACCCCCTCCCACCTTCAAAAAGAAAAAAATGTCTGAATATTCAGAAAGAATAGGTACTCCTGATTAGAAAATTCTGAAGAATTAAACTGGAAAAGTTATTTGATTTGCTTATTTTAGTGCTCTGAATTTACTTTACAATTTTCTATAATCAATGTCATTAGAATTAAAAGGTGTTTGAAGAGATGTATAAAATCTAGCAATTCACAAAAATGAAATATAGATTTTAATCACCATCATTACATAATGACAAACCTTTTTAAATGCTTCAACTTCCAGTGGCAAATGCCACCAAAGAAATTAAGTTGCACTCATGTATTATAAGAAGTATCAAACTATATAAAAGGAGGTCTTGTGCCTTTCAAGTTTGCAAGGCACCTGTGTACTTAAAATATGTATGGAGACCTACTGTACAGTAGCTTTGCCCCTTTAATTGGGGTACATTAATCTTATGGTATTTATCCACCCAACAACTCCAGACTGAGATATTGCTGCAGGGGGCCTTAGGTAGCTACCAACCAGTAAATTATTTTAATTGCTGTCTTGAAGTTAACAAGTGTTATAATGAAATAATCTACCTGATGCTAAATAAAGCCTTTCGAATGTTCAAAAAAAGTGTGGTTTCTTTTAAACTTTCAAATATACTAGTGTTCCCACTTAATGCTATCCTAAATTATTAAGACTGTCCTTACAAAGAAGTCCTCGTGGTGCCGCAGTCCCCAGGGCCAAAGATAATCTGCCACCTAGCATGCACAGTGCTAAGTAGGCAGTTAGCACTCAGTATTCTCTAGGTAAGTACAGTATGATAGTGAGGTGCTACTGTATTCACTTGGTGTGAATGCCACACACGGAATTATCAAGTGGGAACACCTGGGTAGAAAATGTGTGACTAGATCTGCTAGAGTGGGAATGGTTAAATGTCCCCCCCCCCCACAATGTATACATAAGAGTTGGAAAATGCTATTGCAATACAAGTCTGAAAAGATTTAAGGCCTTTTGTAGTTGCTTGTTTGTATACCTCCTAAATTACAAAATAAGCAAGACTACAAGGTTTTATGCTTGCATGAAGTTTATTGCTACAGTACGCTTGATGGCAGACTCCACCTTGAACGTCGACTCAAACAGCGTCATATATGGCATCTGTTAGGAATAATGTAAATAGTGAATTGTTTAAATTCAGTCATGGATCTGAACGTGGAAGATCAGAACTGCAAGGTCTACCCTCCTGCTCTGTTAGAAAGCTCTGAATTAATCAGTTACCTGTGCATTTGCGCTAAAATAGCCTAGCATTTCATGCCGAAAGCAGCCATTTTGACAATTCCACTAAAAGTCTACAAAGAGGATGAATAAATGTACATAGCCCTAAGATATTTTGATAACTAAGAGTTGTCTCCCTAAATATAGTAACTGTAGTACTTGAACCTGCCTATGAATGAAATCTAGCTTTTGTCCATCAAAAGATGTTCAGCTTGAAATTCCCACAAATTGTTTTCAGTAACTGAACTTATTGGTGTATGGGTATAACACTTGTGCTATATTCTTAACTCTCCCTGCTTCCTCTATTGACATCCTCCTGACTTCTAATCCTTTTCCACATAGCAGCCAGCAGGATCTGTCATTCTTCTGGCTTCCCATTGAACTTTTAATCCAACTGTCTCCTTGGTATGCAGGGGCCTTGAATTACATGGTCCCTTCTTCATGTCTACCGACTTCATCTTATGCACTCTCTCCCAGCCAGTCTCATTTTGACCTACTTGCAGTGTCTTGAACCCCCATGCTCCTTTCTGTCCTAGGACACTGTGGGCTCTTAGCAAGGCTGACTCCTACTCATACTCAGGTGTCAATTTATATCTGGGCCTGAACACTCTATCTAATACAGGAGGGCCTGTATCACTCCTTGTTGGTTTTCTTCATAATACATCACATATTGTACTTTAGTTTTTTGTCCGTCTCTCCCACCAAGGTGTGGGTTCCATGTTTGTTCCCTCTACTGTACACACATGGGGGAGGAGGGGCTAGCACAGTACATGGCATTAAGTACTGGTTGGATAAAAAATTAAAAAATGATTTGTGAGTGATAAAACTGTCTCATCTATGGTTAATTTCTTCTATGGTTAATTGTTTTAGCTCTTTAATGTATTTCCAATCTGTCCATTCTACCATAAATATTTACTCTTAAGAGGGAATAAACTTACTGCATTGATTGGGTGCTCCATATATATAATCTCTTATCTCTTACCTTGCTCTCCAGTTGTTCCCAGCTCTTATGTTTTGTCTCTGTCCCTCCCCACCCCTTAAACATGATAACTAGAGTATAAAGTTCCCACATAAAAATGTCTTTTTTTTTTTTAAATCCACACCCTTTTAGCATCTTCCATGGGGCTAGACAGAACCAGGTATTCAAAGGTGATTGAGTTGATTGGTTCACGTATTAGGGACCAGATCCTTGGTGTGAGTCATTATGGTGCAGTGTACCTGCTGTGCATTTATTCATAACTGGTAAGGAAGTTGCAGGCAATAACCACATCAAATTAGAGCATACCCCAACTCACTGCATATCTCAATCCAATTTCTTAAAATATCTCAATATCAAGGTCAACAAATCAAAATGCTGAAAACTCAAGTGTGTTAAGGTCCATGTATTATGGTAGGAAAATTTACCTACCAGTTTTAAGTTTCTGCTTTGCGAACATGGGCAGTAGTCACAGTTATTTCTCCAGCAATACCATAACTTCCAAAGGGAGTACGTTTGTCACCAGATCCTGAACCTTTTTTGGCTACATCTTCTACTGGGAAAGCAACAGAAAGAAAAACTGGGCTTTGTGGTCTGGGGACATCTTGTCCACTTGTAGGAGGACTACCATTCTGGGGCTTTGGGGTATGTTTCTGGAATTTCTGATCTGCAGGAACAGCAATGGGTACTTGTACTGCAGCATATCTCTTCATGGCATCTGACTGAGAAACAACAGTATGTCCAGGAAGAGGTTTCCAATCCTGTACTTCCTGAACATTTGAGCCTACTAAAATAAAAGGTGGGGCACTGGTCTTCTTGCTGTCGTCCATCATCACATAAGTTGGAGAAGTAACTTTCGGTGGATGCTGCAGAAACTGTGGATCCTTAGGATTAGATAAATAGAGGGTTGCTTGGGGGAAAGGCCCAGGTGCAGGTGGTGGTGATGGGCGACTTTGTTGATTCATATCAGTTAGACAATAAAGGGTCCACATGTTAGAATATGGTGGTGGTTGTCCTGCTTCGCTTGCTGCTATTGCTATAAAAAAAACACAACAACAAAATTTGCAGGCATTAAAGGTTTGGTCTCTGTATCAGGCGCTATGCACAGAAATGTCTTTGTAAATTTTTTTATATATAAACAAACAGCTGTAGTAATATGTGGCATAAAGCATGCTATAGAGAGGCTAAATAAATTGTGTTTGGTAATGTGAAAGAAGAGAGATTCTGTACAGTTGGAAAACGAGAACAATGTTGCGATAGCAAGTGTCAGGGACACTAGAGTTGTGGCTGAAGAAGCAATCTCATTCTAAGTTGCTGTTTTCAGGTACTTAAACTTTAGACATGGCTTCTACAGGGTCCTCAGAGAGGAAATGGAGAATTAACATATTTGGCTTTACCAGAAAAATCAAGTGAACAGTATGTTAAGCCATTGAAAATGTGTTAATGCATCTGCATAGTGATTTTTTCTTTACTAAAGAAGTCAGTGCTCAGTCATCTTTTGATCACATAATCAAATCTCTGGCCCTTCACAGGCACCATTATCTCCCATTAATTTGTCACCACACACAAAACTACATAATCTAGAACTCAGAACCGCAGAGAGCACCCCTTTTAGGCAAGGCTTGAAATCACAGGTCCTAGATGGCAGTAAAAGGCTGGCTGGTCCCACAGGGGTTCTTTAAGAAAAAAGAGGTCTAGAAGTGCCATCCATCTACTGACACCAAGGAATCTATAATGTCAAGTTTGACTTGCCTAATTAAGACAGTACTGTCTTGGAGAACTGAGTCCCAGAAGACGGGATGATGGAGAAAAGGTTCCTGATGGAGGAGCTGCACTTTGCCCAAATGTTCCGAGTTCACCTTTTGAACACAGGACCACGTATCCCTGATGCAGCTTTTTTTCTTCCCCAGAAAAGAAAATAACACTATGCACATGATTAAACTGATGTTTTCAACAGCTTCGCATACTTTCAATCGATCTTTCTTGAAGCTAATTTAAAAATACGCACAAGCCAAGTCTTCAGGGTTTTTTTGTTGTTGTTTAATATCCTCTTAGTGCTTTGGAAACAGTTAAGCACTTGAGAACAGTAACTTGGTAGGGAAGTGCTGCTTAAGCCACAAGTGTAATGCCAGTTCCACACGCTAGACTGCCAACACTGCCCTCTGCCTTTTCAGCTGTGCAGAATCCCTGTCACACTGCCAGACAGAATTTGATCTCTAAACACCTGCTTTGGTAACACTTCTTTATCATTCTGGCTCTGCTAAGAATCAAAGTTGAGAGAGTTTCTGCAAAAGGAATGGAGGAGGTTGGCTCATGCATTTCCCATCTATCCCTAAAGGGAGAAGGGCCCCCGCAATTGTCTAGATGGGGCAGGAGGGTGGGCAGACCAAACACCATAATTAGATTGAGATGGAGGTCAAATCATGTCTGTGTCACAGGAAAGCATTGGTGATAGTTCAGCAGCCAAGAGAGCAACCTGATTTTGGCACTTGTCGGGGAAACTGATGAAGCCAGTCACCTTAGCTGCATCCATTATTGCTCAAGAGCCTCCCTGTCCTTTCTGCTGCTGCCACCTCCCTGCTCCCCTGTGTGACAGAACTTCAACCTGACCTGTCCTCTCTCTATCCAGTTATGAAGCTGCTCCCTCGGCTGCAGGAAGCTCCCAGGCAGGAAGTCAGTGCTTGAGCCAGCTCCCCAAACCTGGTTGCAGAGCTCTCCTGACTCAGCGCGAAAGCAGAGTCAAACACACCACCATTTCTTTCACTTTTAAAATGCCACAGCCTATGTAAATGCATTGCTGTAGTCTGATTTTACATTCACAAGTGAGAAATTTCAAACCAACACCCCCTAATTACAGTTTTGCAATAGGAGTATTCAGATCACATAAATGTATTTTGTACCTCACAACAGGCTCTAATGTTTTTCTCTATATAATATGTCCAAAAGAATAACACAAAAGTGCTAGATGACCAAACTTTGAGGCCAAGCTTTGGTGGTGTTGCTTTCAAGTCACTCATCTCATAAGAGTAAAATCTCAAATATCACAAAGCCTTTAAATAGGTTTGGCATTTTAAAAACTATTTAAAATAAAGATTTTTGACCAGTCTGCAGGGAGCCTACCTAGATGGTTGCCTAAAATACAGATGTCACCTGAAATGTAATTTTTAATTTTGTAAGTATCTAATTTTCTTACCTGGCTCCATCAAACCTTGTTCAGGTGCTGCTTCCCATTCTGGTTCAATTTCTGGTTCAGTAAGACCTTCTGGAACAGGAGGGAAGGGGCCACTAGATGATCTTACAGATGCACCTGAGTGCACTGCTTTCGCAGCTTCCCCAGAGAGCACAGGTGTGACCTCCATCTCCTGGAATGCAGAGTATTCCCAGGACTGCTCCTCTCCAGGACTGCCAGGGACCATGGCCATGATCTCCACTTCAAGATGCAGAGATTTTTCAGAGCCTACTGCTTTGGTAGAGCCCTCTGCATCCTGGGATTGTGCAGGCTGACACTTCAAAGAGGTGTCAGAGAGCAGAACTGTTGCTTCTGCCTCCATATGTACTGAGGAATCATATTTTGCATTCTCCTCCAACTGTGCAAATTTTGCAGAACCTACAGATTTTTCAGACATGTCTGAGGCCATCGCGCCTACTACAGGTGTGGAACTAACTGGTGGTGACTGCTCATCTTCTTTAAGACAAGCAACGTGATCAGTAAAAGGGATAACTATTTGTTCTGGTATTTGCTCAACATAAGTAACTCCTTCAGTCACAGGCTCATCTTTATAGATAGATGATATATGAATGGTTGATGTAACCGCAATATCAGCCTGCAAAGGGACCTCAGGAGCTTGATCATAAGCAGGAGGTTCTTGTTCATCCTGCAAGGGGAATGAGGAAGCCATTGATGGTTCAGCCTGGTCTTTAGGTTTAGAACCCACATCTACATGGACAGTTTTTTGGCTCAGAACCTGCATTGCTACCATCTGTCCAGAATACAGAACAGGAGGGGCCACCACACTATCTTCAGCAGCCTCTGAGCTCAGCACCTCCTCAGAAAAAACAGGCATACTTGTTGCCACATCCACCATTAAAATGTCAGATTGATCAGAATGAACAGATGAAACTTTACCTAACATCTGAGCAGCAAACTGAGCTGGGTCAGCTGGGACATAGGCAAACTCTGGTGAGACAGCTGCTTGAGATGGCGATGAGGGTGGGGTAGTAATCTTAGGGGTGGATGGTTTCGAAGGACCACAAACTGCCTCAGCTGTCTCCTCAGGCTCGGAGAGCAGTTCAGCATGAACTGATGGGAACTGAGTGGTTTTGTTGCTAAATAGTGGTCCGGCTATATTGTCCTCCTCTGTGTCTGTAGATTTTTCCATCCTTGCAGGTTCTTGGGAAACTACAGATGTTCTTTCTGATTCTTTTATACATCCTGGTTTCTTCTCTGGTGACGTTCCTTCTGACCACTTCTCTACTAAAGATAACAGCCAGATGAGTTAATAAGCATATATTCCCCAAAAAAAGAATTTTAAAGAAAGCAGTAATAGGTTGACCATTCAAATGTCAATATATACACAAGAACAAAAGAGTTTTGCTTTATTTCCAACATATGTGATTTAGTGTGAGTAATAAAACTTTCCCGTCCTTATCCACTCAAAAGATACCTCAGTTCATTTCCTCAGAAATAAGTGACTCTAAGTAGCACAGCAACAAAACTAATAATCAGATACCACTTTCAGCTGGTCAGCATCAGGAGAAAGATCATAACTCTGCCTAGAAATAAGGAAGCTGAAAACCTCCATGGAAAACACTTCTGATCCAAACTTCCTCACAAAACTAGAGGGGAAAAACAAAGACTTCAACCTGGGCAATAAACTATCTAATCTTCAGCTGGTGTAATAACTTAGTAATGAAACAAATTCTGTCATATTAATAAAGGCATTCCTCAATTTAAGAAAATTGGTTTATAAAGTTTAACTTAATGAATTGGAAAACTAGGCGACTACAGGATATTTTTACATTAGGAAACATCATATATTCTAACCTAAAAATGGTAGCTCCTGCTGGCGAGGTGTGATAATGCAGCCAAAGTCATACTGACCCAGATAAAAGGAGCAGAAAGAGATCTCTGGATCCATAAGTGTGGACTCAGTGAATCCTAAGGCATGAGGAAAATTCCCATGGCTTGGAAGGTCAAGACAGCTGATGACATATAGAAACTCCTAAAGCTGAAAAATTGCTGTAAAATTATTGTCTGGACTCAGCATTCTGTTCATCACCCACACACCACTTTAACCACCTTAGTCATTACTCATCGAATGTTTTCACATCTGCTTACTTTACTGAAGATTTTCTCTTGGGGAAGCATTTCCCTAATATCATAGTGAAATCTGCGGGAAAAGAGAATTTGCTTGACAAGAATTTGTTTGCTTCAAGTCAAAACTTTGTTTGAAGACGTGTTTTCATAGGTTCAGCTGCTTTCCAAAGAACAGTGTCCTACAGTGTCTCCTTCCACAATAGCTGCTGAGTCCCTGTAAACTCAAGCAAGGTGTCTAATTATGGACATGGATACCACACCAAATGCTCACATGCAGAGAAAAGTTTCAAAAAGACAGAAAAGCCACATCTACTATTACCTCCATCTGCTTAGAACAATAACCTTCTTTTCCTAACCATTCACCTCTTTGGGACTTCCCCATCCACTTTTTAATAAAGCCATTTATCTACCAATACACTTGACTGAGTGCTTATGCTGTGTGCAAGATACTGTACTAGGCACTGTTGAGGATATAAAGATTATTAAGACAAGGCCTCATAAAGCTTACATTCAGTGGGGGGATAAGATTGATATGCAAATATTTTAGGTAAAAAAGTATACATACCTAATAATGGTCCTAATAAAGATCTATGGAAGTTCAGAAGAGGAAAAAAACTCCTCAGGCTGGAGGAATAAGGGAAATTTTATTCAAATAAGCTTGGCCTTACACTTAAGATATAGAAAACTGAACAAAAAACTTTGTTCCCATCATAACAAGGAAAAGCCAGAAAAACCACAAAATAACTTTTCTTGAGCCCATCAGAGAGCAGAATCACAAGGCACTCAAGTAACCTGATTTCCAAAGAGCAACCAGCCCCTCCAAGTAGAGAAGGGCTACAAGAACTGTCTCATCTGTGGCAGGGCCCAGAAAGGAGAGGCCACCACCACACTAGCTGGTAAAGTATCAGCTAAAATCTTAATGTACTGCTAAAGGCCAAATGTGGGCTAGGATATCAGTCTGGAATAGCCCTCAACTCCAGACCCACTGAGAGTTCACACTTGCTCACAAGCACTTTTCCATGGGCCTCACATGAAAAATGGAAGCAGGGTAGAAGATCAGAAGAGGGATCCTATATCAACACCAAGCAGAGGTCTCCTACCACTGGGGCAATGGCAAGAAACACTGACTCAAGAGTGACCACAGATACAAGGTAGAGTTTGGTTGCCACATTGATGACCAGCACAAACACTGAGAAAGCCCCACCCCCAAGACCCAGGTGCAATGGCCAGCCTAGGCCAGAGAACTCCCCTACCCTGACCAACAGCCCAGCACCTAGTAACAAGAAACAGCAGGCTGCCCCTGCGTGAGGGGCAAGAGTGTGGGGAGAGACATCCTCTCTGGTGCAGGCTGGAGGGGAAGGCTGAAAGCGGAGAGTGAAGCCCAGGCACAGAGAAAACCCTCAGCACCCCAGCCCCACCCTCAGCACAAGGTAACAGCAGCCCACTGCTAAAGGAATCTGAAGGCTGTGGTACAGAAGGTAATGAGAGCCACGACAAAAGCCAAGCCCAGCGTTGGACTAGATTGACCTACCCACCCCTACACCAATTCAAGGCCTCTAAAACTCTGTTTTCGCTCAGAAGGTCTTAAATTCCCCAACCAATGATTTATTTACCATGAGAATTTTCAAGAACCTAAGCAGTCGAAGGATTGATTTACTGCAATCTCTAGATTGCCTGCATGGGACCTCTGTGATACATTACTTACATGATATAATTTCAGCAACTCTGGAAAGGCCCCCTTGCCCTTTTAAAAGTGTCTACCTCACAGGCTTGTCGTACCTGAAATTATATCTAGGAGATTAATCCCCAGGCTTAACATTTTTGCCTCTAGAAGTCCTCTATTAAATAACCATTCTGGAAAGGTAAAGCATTATGTAATCATGAATCATTAACAACTCATCAGGGAACTGATGATATTGCTTTCTTCCCTACAACTTTTTCATATTAAAAAAGTAGACGAGAAGATCTGGGTTTCAGTCCTGACTGTGATTTGATTGCTGCATTACCTTGGCCAAGTCAATGGCTCTGAGCTTCAGCTTCTCATCTGTAAAATGAGGGTTATAATTCTGACCTTAGAGTTTTTGTGGAGACTAAATGGAATCATTCATCTGAAAGTGTTCTATAAACTGTAAATCACATATAAATGAGGAAAGAATAAATCAATACCTAGTTAAAAAGAGACAGAAAAGTTTTGAAATGACATCAAATTAAAAATTATAAACCTCACATCTTTAATTCAGCTTTGATTAAAATTAAATTGGCTATTTCCTAAACTGGGTGATAAAATGCAGTGGTTTTTTTTTCTCATTTATAATATATGTATGTGTGTCTGTGTACATGTGTATATGTATATATACACATGTATATGTCATATATACTATTTTGGATATATTGCATAATTCTAAAAAATTAAGTTGAGATAACGATGCCTTAAGCTTTAAGAGTGTTTTTGAAAATGCAAACTACTGGATTAACCATTTGGCTTTGTTTAGAATACATGAGAAAATGTTAGCAAACATATGCATACTAGTTACCATGTATATAACTTAAATCTATATTGAGTTCCTGTCAGTATCTGTTTACTAAGAAAGGTAAAGAATAGATAAGGAAAACAGATTGGTGGTTACCAGAGGAGAAGGGGGTTGGGGAAGGGCGAAAGTGGTAAAGGGGCACATGTGTATGGTGACAGATTAAAATTGGAAAATTGGACGGCTGGTGGTGAACACAATGCAGTCTATACAGAAACTGAAATATAGTGATGTACATCTGAAATTTACACAGTGTTGTACGCCAATATGACCCCAATAAAATAATTAAAAAAGAAAAGTAAAGAGCTTTTCTCTAATGTTTTAAGATCTGTTTTAATAATTCCAAAGACTGCTGACTTGTAACCTTGAGATTATGTTTGTACAGAAAACTGTATTTCTTCAAGTTGTAAACTAGGTTTGCTACAGGTTAATCTTACTTATCAACCTTATGAAGATTAACCCAGTAAGACTTCAGTGATCTGGTTCTACTTAAACTAACACAAAAAAACTGGACAGACTCTCAGAATTAAGAACCTAATTAAAGGCATTCCTCCCTGTAAAGTTTCCTTTTAAGTACAATCAAGTGACTAATTGATTAAAACTCAGTGTAGAATCCTGATTTTCTGTAGAACCAATGAGATAAAGAGATAAGTTCCAAGCATACAATATTTCCCGGAATAGGCAGAACTCATGTGGAGACGTGGGGTGTTGGGGCACATAACTGGCAGGAAAGAATAAGAAGAAAGGCTATTCTGGCACTAACAGGAAGTCTGAAAGGTGTCAAAGACAAGAGGAAAATAAGAAGCAGGACATAATAGGAGACAGGAGAGGTGATTAACAGGAGAGGAGACAGGAGATAAGGACTGGAGGTGGGGAACTCACAGTAGAGTGCTTGAAGTCCAGAATTTGGAGTAGGTATGGTATACAGTTTTTAAGAGTTTAAAACATAAAAGGATTCCAACTATTACATGTTGAGCTAATTGGAATGAGGAATACCAGAGATGGTAGGCGGTCTGTTTCTTTTCTCCCCTTCCTCTCTTTCTTCCATTCATTCTTTATTCACCAATTATTAACTTCTATTATGTGACAGAAACTGAGGAATCAAAGATGAATAAGACCTCCTAAAGAGTACCGTCTGATTAAGGACAGACGTACTTAAACAGATGATTATATGACAATGTGGTCAGTGTAGTGACTGAAATATGTATGGGGTACAAAGGCTTTTAGGTAATTGTCGTTAAGCTTTGAAAAAGAGAAGCAGCGGGTAAGAAAGGGGCCCCACACAATCGCCCCACCCAAAATGCCAAAGAGCCCCTCTGGAGAAGGGGCTTAACCAACCCTGTCCATTCTGATTTCCCTTATCAGAAGCTTTATCAGCCTCCCTTGGCCAATGGGACAGAAGTGGAAGTCTGTTAGGAGACTTGGAAATATTTTCCTTTCTTAACGAAAAGCACAAGTGTCACTGGTGCCACCACTTTCTCCTCCTTCCTAACTTAAACATGGACACAATGCCTGGAGCAGTGGTGTGAGGGGACAAGTAAAATACGCTAAGAATGGAGAGCAGAAAGCCTAGATAATTGATGCTTTATTATTATAATATTAGCAGCAGAATGAACACCACTTCCAGAT